ATACTAACATGCACAAAAACAAGACAGAGCAAAACCAAGCAACAATATACAACAAAACAACAACAAACCACTGACAAAGAACAAATTAAAACACAAGAAAGAAAAGCTTGTAGTTAGTTCAAGGATCGTTGGCCTTTAGGCTCTCCTGATACTTGACTGTGTTCTAACCCTCCCTTGTCTCTGCTGTCTCTCAGAGCTTCTGCTCTTAGGTAGCGTCTCCATGTTATATTACTTTTCAATACCCTTAGCATCTTTGATACTTGTACACCACCATGTAGCCCTTGTAGAGAAATTTTATTTTATGATTCATATTTATAATTTCCAGGAACCCAGTTCTTGTTCTCTGATTTCAAAATAGTTTTTAATTCTTGTACAATAATTAATTATTGTAAATGAATGCACATGTTGTGACAATTCAACATGTTTTATGTGTATAATTTAGTGATATCAATTACATCTATCGTTGTGTAACCACTACCCATAATCATTGCCAAATTTCTCTTTATCATAAACAATATGGTCTATTAAGTTGAGAATGAAAAATTGAAGATGAAAGTCCTCCCATTCATCCTCAAAAAGAATATTTTAAGGTCTGTCCTGATGTAAAAGACTGGCAGTGATAGGATAAGATCCAGGTGCTTGCAAGGATGACTCGTTAATAGGACTATTATTCAAATCTGTGTATTAATCATTAATGACAATTCTGAAGGAACTGGACACTTAGTTACTAACTTCTGCAGTCTGAAATTGATCAAATATACAGTCAAGATGCACTGACAACTACTGGTCATTGCAATGTGAAACTTGGAAATGAAGACAAATCAAAAGTTGGAAAATGGCCTTGGTGGTAGAAATGGCACTGTAGATCACATGACAGCATTTGACAGAGTCAATTACTTAATTGCTACAAGCACCGTCTTCAACAACATGAACAGTGACATGGCCCTCGCCTGATGGAGTGCACAGGAATCCAATCAACAGTAATTTGGTTGTCTGTGGAAAGAGACAACCACGAGGTTCAATATAATTAGGCAAAACTGACTGGAACAGTTTATCAATTATTGATATGAAAGTTCAAATTGAAGCTGAAGAAAATTAATTCAAGGCCACAAGAACCAAGATACAGCCTTGCGTATATATCCCTCCTGAATTTAGAGGGATATTCATCTCAAGAAAAGATTTGACTCTTTAAACGCTAATAACTGAAGACTAGAAACGTTGTGGCAGGACATTATACGTGGAAAAAAAAGGAAAAGGACGTTATTGCAAGCACTCCATGTCTGTGCAAGCGTGGCCCATGACTGAAGCATTGCTACTCTGTGTCCCAGACAAGACAGGACAAGAGACTCACTCTCAACCTGTACAGGTGTTTTCAAGTTGGGTGGATTTTCAGTTTGATTCTCAAGCAAAGTTATGAACACTGGCAGATTTTTTTCCAACAGTAGTGGAAAGTTCAAGCTAGGAGTCTCTTGACAACCGAAGTGTCACTGTAAAAGCAAACGAAAATAGATGCCAGAAGAGAATCTAAAACTAGCTTTGAACGGAAGAGTAGCTAAAGTGAAAGGAAGAATTAATGAGGTAAAAGAACGAAACAGAAGATTTTGAATGGTAGCTTGAGAAGACAAGGCTAAGCTATTGTGACGCAACATGTGAAGCCCTGGGGCCAGAAAACCAAAGTGAAGGTCACACCCAGAATGTAACAAACTACTAGAACTGAGGATAAAAGTCAACCCTTGAGTTGCAACATTGAAGACTTCTCCAGGCAAAATCTTGAACAATGCAGGAAGCATCAAAAGAATATGAAAAAAAATACACAGAGTCACTATCAAAAACATCTAGTTGACATTCAACCATTTCAGGACATAGCCTGTCAAGAAACCATGATATTGAAGGAAGAAGTCTAAATGATGGTTGGGGATGTGGGGGAAGTCTCCAAGAATTGATAGAATACTAATTGTGAGATGCAATGCGGGAAGCTTTCATTCATTATGCCAAGAAATTTTTAACACAGCTACCTGGTCAACTAACTGCCAGAGATCCATACTTGAACCCACTTGAACAGAATACTGGAGTTCTCAAACATTATCAATAATGCCATACATATGTAAAATTTTGCTGAGGATAATTCAAAAATGATTGTAGGTGTGCCCTGACAGTGAACTGCTAGAAATTCAAGCCAGATTCAGAAGAGGACATGGAACAAGAAATATTGTTGATATCAGATGGATCTTGGTTGAAAGCAGAGAATAGACAAAAGATGATTACCTACGTTTTGACCGTAAGTGTGAAGTGTGTGGATCCTAACAAACTATGGATAACATTACAAAGATGGGGATTCAGGAACACTTAAGTCTGCTCATACAGAACCTGTATGTGGACCAGGAAGCAGGTATTCAACCTGAACAAGGGGATGCAGTAAGGTTGAAAATAAGGAAAGGTGTATGTGTCAGGATTATACACCTTTCACCATACTTTTCAATCTGTACGGTGAGCAAATAATCTGAGAAGCTGGACTATGTGGAGAATGCTACATCAGAACCGAAGGAAAATTCATTAACAACCTACAATATACAGATGACAAACCTCGCTTAAGGTGAAGAGGAGTTGAAGCACTGATAAAGGACAAAGGCTACGGCCTGCAATCTACATTATAACTCAACATTAAAATATTTTTAAATTCTCACAATTAGACCAATAAGCAATAACTTGGTAAATGGAGAAAAGATTGAAGTTATCAAGGACTTCATTGCACTTGGATCTACAATCAACATTCACAGAAGCAGCGGACAAGAAATCAAACACCATATTGTATTAGGCAAATCTGCCGAAAATAACTCCTTAAAAGTATTAAAAAGTTGAGGTACACCTGACCCAAGCCATAGCATGTTCAAATGCCTCCTATGTATATGAAACTTTGAAAATGAATAAAGAAAGGCAGAAAAAGAACCGCTGCCTTTGAATTGTGGCGCTGGTGAAGAGTGCTGAATAAACCCTTGGCTGCCGGAGAGCAAACAGTTGTGTCCAGTCTAGCTGGGAATGATCCTTAGACGTGAGAATGCGAGCCGTCCTCTTACATGCCTCGGACATATTAGGAGGAGTCCGTCCTTAGAGAAAGACATCATGCTTCGTAAGAGGATCAATGATTACAAGGATCTATATGTGACCTCCTCCCTGGGGGACAGACAACAGAAAAGTGGGTGAAGGGAGATGTCGGACAGGGCAAGATATGACAAAATAATAATTTATAAATTATCAAGGGCTCATGAGGGAGGGGGGAGTGGGGAGGGAGGGGAAAAATGAGGACCTGATGCTGGGGGGCTTAAGTGGAGAGCAAATGTTTTGAGAATGACGAAGGCAGTGAATGTACAAATGTGCGTTACACAATTGATGTGTGTATGGATTGTGATGAGTCATATGAGCCCCTAATAAAGCGATTTAAAAAAAAAATAGGATCGATGAAAAAGAAGGCCCTCCAGGAGATGAATTGACATTGTGGCTTCAACTGTAGGCTCAAGCACAGGTATTCTGGGGATAGCACAAGACTAGGCAGAGTTTCCGTTCGGTGGCGAATTAGGTCACTAGGAGTCAGGACTAAGTGGACAGCACCTAATGACACCAACTAAACACTGAAAAATGTTTATCTGTTTTTCAGTTCTCTGAGGACATTACTGATAAAACATATTTAGTTCTCCACTAAGCTTTCTGTATTCTTTTTTCCTTCGTATCAGCTGTTCTGTTGGCTCCTTGGGGGCCACCTTTGCAGAGCAAGCTTTTGATTGCATTTGAGTGACTAGTCATCTATCGATTTGTGTTTGAAATAAATGACTGGTGAACTGCTATGAATCTTTCTGCGTCTTGAAGGCTGAAAAAGTAAGAAGATGTCAAGGAAGATAGAATCAGGATCTTTGTAGTTACACTCAAAATTAATTTTCCCTCCGAAATTTTAGGACGGCCTATCAAAGCTGGTATCTGAGAGCTCCAATGTCAGTACAAACAGAAGAAAGTTGGCTTCAAGACTCTTCCAGCCGAAGACAGCCGAAAAGTGAGTAGTCTGAATTCTTGGGTGGACTGCATATTGAAGAGCCTGTAGTGCAGCAGTTCTCAACCTGGGGGTCGAACGACCCTTGCACAGGGGCCACCCAATTCATAACAATAGCAAAATTACACTGAAGTAGCAATGATTTTAATTTTAAATAAGGAACTGTATGAAAGGGTCGCAGTATTAAGAAGGTTGAGAACCACTTCTGTAAATCCAAGCTTTATCACAAACTAACACTACGCACCTGAACCAGTTACTTAACCGCATTGAGTTATAGTTTCTTCATCTGTTAGCAACTACACTTCCATTGTAGAACCTTTAGGAGATTGGATCTTAAAACTCCCTGGAATAGCCTTGAAGCCAACATACTGGCATGAAGCAACAAACTAACAGAGAGATCTGCGGGCAAGCCCAATCCCAGCCTACCCAGAAGGTTGCGCTATGAGAACAGCGCTGAAGATGCAGCCTGGGAGAGTGGCGGGTTTGCCCAGGCCCCGCGGGAGAAAGTGAAAGGGAAAGAGAGGGGGCCTCATCCTGGCCAACCAAGCTCTGAAGATGACTCTTCTGCTCGGAGCAGCCAAGGCACAGAGAGGGTCATGGGCCCAGCTGCACCAGGAGACACGACACCCCTCACTGACCCACAGCGCTGCAGGGGACAGCACTGGAGACACAGTGCGGAAACTGTGCCCCGTCTGATTCCCCACCCCCCCAACACAAAGAGAGCAGCAAGGGGAACAAAGCAACGGAAGTCCCCAAGGAATCCCAAAAATGGACTTCAGACTCAGTGGACAGGGCTTGGCACCTCATCACATTAGCTCGGAAAACTACCTTATGGGTCAGCAGACAGACCTGGAATTATTTATAGGCCCCTTTTTAATTTTATGTCTATCTATATGATAGGCAAGATAAACAATCCTGAGGAGAAAGTAATGAAACCAATGGTTGGGAGGTTGGGGGAGATGGGGGAAAGGGAGGGGGGAGTCAACAAGCCCAGGGATATGGGAACAGCAAGAGATCGAAAACTGATGGCAAGGAGGGTATAAAACACCTAATAGGGTTGATCAAGTGCAGTATAGCCAGAGGAATGATTGAGACCCGAATGACGGTTGAGAGCATGAAGTAAAAGGAAATAGAGGAAAGAACTAGGAGGCAAAAGACATTTATAGAAGTATAAATATAGGCATGTTTATATATAAGTATATTAATATATAGTGATCGGGATATAGGCCTATGTACATACATGTATATGTTAAGTATTAAAGTAGCAGACAGATATTGGGCCACTACTCAAGTCCTCCCTCAACACAAGAACACTTTGTTCTAATAACCTGGTATTCTGTGATGCTCACCTTCCCGACATGATTGTGGAAGTTAAAATGGGTATAAGCAAATGTGAAGAAAATTGATGGTGCCCATCTATTAGAAGATATAGCATCTGGGGTCTTAAAGATGTGAAGTTAAACAAGTGGCCATCTAACAGGGAAGCAACAAAGCCCACATGGAAGAAGAACAATAAATAGCCTGTGCGATCACGAGGTATTGACGGGACCAGATTTCAGGCATCAGAAGACCCAAAACAATCATATTGATGCAAATGGGGTAGTCAGAGTGGAGACCCAAAACCCATCTGTAGACAATTGGACATCCCCTCACAGAAGAGTCACAAGAAGGGATGAGCCAACGGAACACACAACATTCCTCTAGTTCTTTAATGCTTCCTACTTGCCACTACCAGTGACCCCAGTTCTACCTTACAAACCAGGCAAGACAGGAGCATGTACACTGGTGCAGATAAGAGCTCTCGGTACACGGAATCCAGGGCAGATAAACCTCTCAGAAACTATAAAGGGAGTATACGAGAGTAGGGAGAAGGTAGGGGGAGAAAGAGGGAACTGATCACAATGATTGATGTATAACAACCTCCCACCCCGAGGAGTATGTACAACAGAAACATGGGTGAAGGGAAACAGCAGATGGTGTACAATATGAAAATAATAATTCATAATTTACCAAGGGATCAGTAGGGTTGGAGAAAAGAGGATCCCTTAGTATAAGGGCTCAAGTAAAAAATGTTTTGAAAATGATGACAATCTATGTACAAATGTTCTTGATAAACTTGATGTATGGATTGTTGCAAGAACCCCCCAAAAAATCATTTATAAAAAATTTTTTTAATTCACTAGAACCTAGTATTTATTAAATATGGAAGCATTTCTAGTCACATCAAGAAATCATCTAAAATAAATTTTAAAACAAAAAAAAAACCCAATAATCTGCCATTTTATTCTTAACATGTAGCTTTATCTTTTTTATTATGGAAGTAGCATATGAATGTTTTTTTAAAACTCAAATCATTAAAAACTAAATAGCGTAAAGATTGAAATTTAAACATCCTTCTATAATTCTCAGAGGTAATCATTATGAATAGCTTTTCTTTCCAGACTTTTTATTTAAATCTTACGTTAGGGCAAACTCATGACTCAAAGCAAATGCCCCCTGTGGGTTTTCAAGACTGCAACCTGTCTTTCTCCAGTAGAGCTGCCGGTGGCTTTGAACTGCCAACCATATGGATCGCAGCCCAACTCATAACCACTACACCATCAGGGCTCCTTCATTTATTCACTAAATACTTAATGAGTGCCTACCATGGGCCAAGTACCTAGGGAAATAGCAGTGAACAAAATGAACAAAATCTCTTCTCGGTTATATTAGTGTATCGGGGGACTGAGGAAAGACAAGTAATACACAAGATAAATTCTTAAATTACATCACGTGATAGGATGAAAGAGCTAAGGAGAAAATAGAGCGGAGAAGGTGTACTCATGTTCTAGGGCTGCTGTAACACAATAGCACACACACTGAGAGGCCAGAAGAACAGAAGTGCATTGTTTTGTTTCTTGAGGCCAAGAAATCAGAATCCAGGGTTTAGCAGGGCCATGTTCTTTCCAAGGCACTCTAGGAGAGGGGCCTTTCTTATCTCGCTGGTCTTTGGTAGGCCAGGCATTTCTTAGCATGGAGACAATTGAATCTTTCCTCTGTTCCACTGTGACTCTTCTCTTCCATCAAGAGCCCTTCCTATTGGGTTAGGCCCCACCAAATGATGGTGTCTTCAAAGACCCTCTTTGCAAGTAAGGTTCAGTTCACAGGTACAGGCGTTAAGACTTCAGCATCTCTTTTCATAGGACACAAGTTCCTAACAGAAGAGAGTGGGGGTGTATCAGAGTGGGAGGGCTACCAATTTATACCGATGCGCAGGGAAAACTTCACTGAAAGACTGAGCTACTTGGTCAGAGCCCTGAAGGAGGTGAGAGAGTTTGCAGGAAGAATGTTGCAGGCCGAGGGGAACAGCAGGGACTGCCTCCAGACTAAGCAAGGAGGAGAGAATCCTAGGGGATGAGGTTGGAGACAGAAGGAGGACTGGATTTTTTCATTGGGAATGAACTGAGAAGTCACTGGAGGGTATCCACCTCACCTTTCAATGGCTGCTGGTCTACAGAGAAAAGGACCCAAAGATTGAGCCTTGGGGAACCCCAGAAATTGGGGAGAAGTGAGACCAAAGGAGATAAAAAAAAAAGTAGCCAATGAGATTCAAAAAAGTAAATAAGAGCCCTGAATGGCAAAGAAGAAAACGTCTTGAGGAGGAGGGATGAGCAACTGGATCAAATGCTACTTAGCAGCGAAGGACAGAGAATTACTACACTCAGCATGGTGACGATGAGACTTTTTTCAATATGATTATGTAGATAAAAACCTTTGTACAGCCTTTTCACCTAATATGCCTTGGAAATATTTCCAGGCCAGGAAAGACAGGTGTTCTTTATCCTTTTTAATCCCTGCATAAATAATATGTAGTATGGATGTGCAACTTTATTTAAAGATTTCCCAATTGATGTGTAATAAAGTTGTTCCCACTCACACAATATTACAGTAAACATCACCTTCTCTGTGTGAACATCCAAATGTTTCTCTAAAGCAATTGCCAGGAGGTGGTATTATTGGGCAAAAGGAAAGAATATTAATCACAGATCTCTTAAAGAGCGAGCCCTCTGTATGCTTCCACCAAAAGTTATGAGACCACTTGCTTCCCACCTCACTTCCAAGCATGTGATATTACCTCTTTTTGAAGTTCTGGATAGTGTGGAATGTGGAAATTATACTGTATCATATTTTATTTTGTATTCTGTGATTACTAGTGAGGCTGAGGGTCTTATTACCAGGATATGTTTTTTAGCCCACCTGAATATCTTCTTTTTTAATTAAGCAAATAAACAAGTACTCCTGTCTTCTGCTCATTTTTCAATTGGTTGTTTAATTTTTTCTAGTACTTTACATATATCAAAATACTTTAAATATTATTGGGTGGTAAAGTTTTCCTCTAAATCTGTCTTTTGTCCTTTACTGTTATTTTTAGTATTTTTAAATTATTTGTCATTTTAATTTTGTATGTAAATAACTTCCCTTGTGCATTTTCTATTTTGTGGTTTGTTGAGGACAGTGGTTCTCAACCTTCCTAATTCTGTGAACCTTTAATACAGTTCCTCATGTTGTGGTGACCCCCCAACAATAAAATTATATTTTTGTTGCTACTTCATAACTGCTATTTTGCTACTGTTATGAACTGGCGACCCACAGGTTGAAAACTGCTGGTTTAAGAGGTTGTTCCCTAACTCAAAGTTATGGCCATATTTTCCTAATTTTCTTTTAATACTTCATATATCTTATTTTTTATATTTAGCTCTTTAATTAATATGGAATTCATTTTTGTGGTGACTTAAGCAGATATCAGTGTTGAATTGTTTCCTTTCTCTATGCTTTGAAAGAATATTTCTCTCTTATCCTAAGTCTTCATATATATATATGAAAATTCTGTTCCCCCGAACTGTTTGTATTTTCTTACACCAATTCCACATAGCTATATTTTCGATGGTTTCATAATATATCTCTAACAGATAAAAGACTGCCTTCCTTATTCTCTTTCACTTAATGTGTCTTGGATATGGGTGATATCAACAGCTAACATGCTCAGGAGCTACCAAAAGGTTGGGGTCTGGAGAGCAATGAGTGACGCTCCAAAGAAAAGCCTGATCATCTACTTTGGGGAACAAATGAAGCCACTGAAAACCCTGCGAGGCCCCCTACTGCGCTGACACACTTGGGGTCACCGTCAGTTCCCAGTGACTGAGCAGCTGACCCCTTGCTCTCTCGGAGGCTGCTCCCAGTTAGTCTGGGCAGGTGACACATGTTAGCACCAGCTGGAGAAAACCAAGGGAAATCTTACTGGAGTTACATTGACTATACAGAGCAAGTAGGTTGGGGGAGAATATTTGAAGTAATTTGTATATTTAATTTTTTTAAATATTCACTATAAGCCTTCTTATGTAGGAATAGGGACCCCTGGTGGCATAGTGGTTACGCATTGGGCTACTAACCACAAGGTCAACAATTCAAAACTACCAGCCACGCTGTGGGAGAAAGACAGGCTTTCTACTCCCGTGAAGGTTTCCAGTCTTGGAAAGTCAGAGGGGGACTTCTGCCCTGTCCTGCAGAACGACTCCGTGGCCGTGCAGAGTTGAGATGTGGGGACTTAGAGGACTCCTCGTTTCTTTCCTTATTCTCTTTTATGGTTTCTTTGTTTTCTCGTGTAGGACACGTGTGGCTTTTATTAGATTATCCCTAACTATTTCATGTTCTTCTATTGATGTATCAACTGGAATCACGTTTTCCTATAATATTTATTAATTGGTTATTATTGGTGTACAGAAACGCTATTGATTTCTAAATTTTAATCATGTATCTGATTAGTTTGCTAAATTTTCTTATTAATTTAAATCACTTGTCAGCTGAGAGCTTACTGGAAAATTACAATTAATGGCATCTTTTTATCTTTCCTGAATGTTTAACTTAACAGTCTATTATACACATCTGTTCTTGACAGGAAAGCTTGATCTACTTCATTTAAATGGTTAAGTAGCATTCCCTCACATCATTGTCACTTAGGAAATAAAACGGATTTCTAAGCATTACAGATAGAGGTCCTTTGCGTTCCTTTGATTTTTGAGCTTTTCTGTATAACAAACGATGCTTTAATGAAAATGTTCATGAAGTCTTATTTTTATGGGTTTGTTTCTTTGTTTGTTTTGGGGGGGTTGGGCATTTCCACTGAGCAAAATGCCTAGAAATATATTTTGTTAAGTTTTCAGTTCCTCCACATTGCCACCCTCCTTCTCCAATAACAGCTTCCGGAGCGCATTGCTTTCCCGACGTGTGTCTGGTGGAGCATTGCTCTGGTGGACTGGCCATCATTCAAGTCTTCGTGCTCTCTGCCTGCGAGGACATTTCTTCCGAGTCACCTGGCTGTCATGGCTCTTTGTCCCCCTCTCTAGTGCTGATCTGAAATCTGTGGAGGGTGAAGCAGCAACCCCAGTGACCTGGCTCACTGCCTTGACCTGGGGCTCTCATCCGCCCAGAATCCTCCAGCCTGAGACCTCTCCCACAAGATCGCTGACAGTAACATCAGCCTGGTGATACTGAAAACCAGCAGGCCACACAAGGGTGCTCCCTTCAGGATTACGGTCCAGTGAAATATGCCTCTGTGCAGTGTTCTAAGACTACGGATGCACAGAGGCACATGTCTGAATGGGCTGCATTAGAGTGTAAGTGTGTTACTATTGGTAAAATATCATTTGGAAAAAGACAAAAAGTTAAAAGGTAAAAACACACGCAGAAAAATGGTATGTGTTTTTCTAAAAGGTTTACTTTCGTTAAAGACTCAACATCTTTTCAATTTAGCCCCAGTTGGTGACAAGCATTCATTCTTTTGACAGAGGAAGAAGTACTTACTGGCCCATTGACGAAGATAGACAAACCTACAACCCTGGCTTCTCAGTTAAGAGGTAAATAGGGACTTGGAGTATCTGAGCTACCACTGAGAAACCAATCTTGGTTGGGGCCTGTGTTAGACAGGGTTCTCTAGAGAAACAAAACCAGAATGCTAATAATTTTGTACAT